CTAGTCCAGTAGGTTTGTCTCAGCCTGAATAGAAGGCAACATGCGAATACGCACCTTAGGGTGGGCATGAGTACCTAGACCTACCAGGGAACAACACCTACGTCCAGTTATCCATCCTAGGCGATATACGCGCCCTAACCATGGTCATGAGACTCAAGCTCATTCCACGGCACCATATAATATATATATAAAGTCCGTACTCCTCCTAATACAGTATACCATCCATCTGTGTAGTGGTCTGATATATGTATAACAAATCCATCCTGAAATCCTAGTAGGTCATTCAATTCCCAACTGATATGACACATGTAGATGATGGACTTAACCTTTATGATTAATCCATACCTTGATCCAAATTAGGTAGGACTTAATGTTGGAATTAGTCCATACCTAGTATGTCACCGTCCCATACCGGTACATACCATCCTCCAGTTAACAGAGTTGATAAAACAGTACTAGATAGTCATCAACCCAATTCCCAAATTATGCACAAACCAAATTAATCCATAATTATAAAACTTAGGCATTCAGTCCAGGCCTAGAAATTATATTCCAACCATTAAATTTGTTATTTATAAAACATAGCATTTATAGCATGCATCAAATTCACTAATTGATAAAATTAACTGAACTGTTATATCAATTACTTCCAACCAAACATAGATAATTCCAAGAATTTTACTATGCTTATAAAACTGTCTAAACATAATTAAAACAGTAATAAATAAAAATCCCAATTCCAGTCCGTTAAATGACAAAACAACAGCATGCAATTTATTTCTCCAAACAGTGCCATAACTGGTGCAATTTATATCCAGTTTAAATCATCAGTTAATTCCATCCATATCTACATCTAATTATACTACTATATGCTTAAACCATAATAAAAATATAACTAGCAGTTTAAGATTATACAGAGAAATCAAAATTTCAAAAATAATAGACAAAAGAAAAATTAATTCTTCAATCATCCTCCTACGGTTCTCTGTTTAAACTAAAGTTAATTCCATCCTCAATACCTACTTGTAACCATGCTTCCCAACATTTTTATAAGTCTTTGGCAATGGTTTACACTCTCCAGTAGCTTTTAAATGATTTTAGAAAACCAATTTTCAGCCCAAACGGACCTTAAAATCAACATTCTGGGCAATTAAAAAGGGAGCAGGCTCTAGAAAAAAGTTGAGCCTGCTCTTCCCATCTAAAGCCGGCTCTAGACTTACTAGAGCCTGCTCTAGTGCACCAAGAGCCGACTCCTCCTCTTTGGGAGCCGGCTCTAAGGGTTTTGGAAGCCTCTTTTTCTTCCCTTAGCAGCCTTCTGTCCGTTTAAACTTCGTCTTCTCCGATTCTTGTGAGTACCAGTCCTCTGTGGTAACTTTTATTACATGTTTTAAGATCCATCCCAGTTCCAAATTAATCACAAGACAATGGTACACAATCAAAACTTGAATTTAATTAAACATCAGTTCTTTTTTTTAAACAACGGCAGTAGGATTCAAAACTGAAATTTTAAACAACTGCAAAACAGATTAATTCAATAATTTTAAACACTGATTAACATGTATACAAGATGTATTTAAAACTTATTTTAATCCCTGGAGTCTTCCTAAACACGCACAGAACACAGATTAAAGGGATAGAGTGGAACAGAGACTTGCCTTTGAATTTCAGATTTGAAATTCTAATTCACCGTCTCTGTGTGACATGTTTGTGTCCTACACTGTAGTTCCCCACTACCACGCTCCTTCCTCCTTGAGTTGCTTTGCTAATCACCCAAGTTCACTCTGTGTTTCCCTTAAATCTTTCTCTCTGGATTCCCCCTATCTCACTCTATAAGTGAATATGGTGAATAGGGTTTTATTTGTAACCCTAACCCATCGTATAACAACATATATAGACACTATAGGAACCCTAAGTCCATAAAGATATAACTCGGCCCATAGATAAACCTAGGTTATAATCAACGTCAGCTACCCATGTAACTTTAAACCTAACTTATAAACCTAACTTACGATAAGCAAGTAAATTCAAAAATGAAAACAATTAATTAATAACAATTCTATCAAGTAATTAAATCAAATAATACAATTTAAAGAAAATTACAGCCAAATAAATAATTAAAACAATTAACTCAAATAATCACAATTAATGTAAATAATTCAAATAATTAATTAAATCAAAGAAAACAAGTAAACCAAATAATTAATTCAAATAATACAAATAATTCAAATAATACAAATAAGTCAAGTAAGTCAAATAATTAAAAAGTCAATTAAAACATAAATTAAATACCAGGACTATCCTTTTGAAATTAGGGGTATTACACCTCAGGATCTTGAATGATCAGAGAAGGATTCCTGGAGATCGCCTTGAGAAGATAAGAGGAAAGGAGGACCCGTGTAGAGGGGATATTATCTCTAAATGTATGATTGCAAGTACTCGAACTGGATGTCTGCAAATTTAGAAGGAAATAGATCAATTTTATGACCTAAAAAATTATAAATAAAACATAAATGTTTAACCATGCAAAAAAAGGCAAGAAGATTCGCCCAGGTCATCGAATGTAGGGACAGAGGGTAGGGGTGCACACAAGAACCGGAACTGTGTAACCGAAACTGGAACCGTGAGAACCGGAACCATTTTTACTGGTTCTCACAATTCCGGTTCCGGTCCCTGTTCCGAATTTAGGAACCGTAGACATATGGTTCCGGTTCCGTTTCCAGCCCATGGGAATATATATATGTATTATATATTTAATTTTATACATATCAGTAGTCTAAATTTAATAAATGCATCAAAAGTAAAGTCACTAAGTCATTGTGAATGACTGATGTAGAGGCGGCCACGTGGTCCATACTAAACCACTAAACCACATGGTCATCATTTGACAATTTTTATCAGTCATCACAATTTCACTCATTCAGATTCCTAGCCTAAGTCTCATCGCCGCCGCCCCCCATCTCAAAGGCTCAAAGCTTCTCATCGCCCCCCTCATCTTAAGGCTTCCTCATTAGTCATTGCCCTCCCCCATCTCAAAGAATCAGAAGTTCAAAACCCATGTATTTCAAATCTGTCTGTAAGAATCAAAAGTTCAAAACCCATATCGACATATCATTTCAGATTGTTTAAAAAATTGAAACCCATATTTTTCAGTTTCCATCGCCCGCTATTCCAGTTCGGGTTCGTAAGCTTCAACTGCTGTCTCTCAACTCCAAGCTTGTCCCTCTCTCTCTGTAACTGCTAAACTTGCCCTCTCTCTCTCTCTGCAACTGTAAACTACAAAATCTACAAGAATCAGAAATTCAAAACTCATATATTTCAGATCTGTCTACAATAATCAAAAGTTTAAAACCCATATCGGAATATCATTTCAGATTGTTCAAAAAATCAAAACCCATATCTTTCAGTTTCCATCGCCCGCTATTCCAATTCGGGTTTGCACGCTTCAGCCGCTGTCTCTCAACTCATGGTTAACGGTTCTCATGGAACCAAACCGGTTCTATGGTTCGGTTCCAGTTCGGTTCTAATCTATACGGTTCCGGTTCCCTTTTTTAGGAACCGTTGTGAACTGTTCCGGTTCTGGTTCCGACCGGATCCGAACTGTGTGCACCCCTAATAGAGGGGGTATGGAAGCTCTCCTGAATAGGGAAATCCTGAGCAGAGGGAGAGCGCTAGGCTCCTTCAGCTTTAAAAATTCTTTCCTTGCACTCCTTATCAAAGGTATTAAGATTAGAGAAGAGGGCCCTACCCGTCCTAGAGTGAAAATGATACATACCCTCTTTGCCCTTTATTCTATTTATTAAATAGGAGAAGAGGAGATCAACAAAATTCAAGGTCAACCTTTGAACTCTATTTAAAACCAAAAGGCAGAAAAGGATGTGGAAGAAATTAGGGTTAACCTAAAGAGGGGCTAAATTTAGAACAAAAAATACCCGAATATAGAAAGGATTTAGGGGAAATATAAAAGAAGACAATTGACCAGCGGAGAAAAGCATCTCGTCCTCTCTCAAACCCTCACCAATACTGAAAATTAAATCATAAGGATACTCCTCTAGGGTAACATCGCACAGAACCCTATTATTTTTTCTCAATTGAAGGGCAGAAAGAGATTTTCTCTCCACAATATCTACGGGAAAGACTATCGGGCCCTCAACAGAACTCGGAGTGTTCACATTAACCTTCGGCGTCTCCGATTCAAAAATGGACATTCTAACACTAGGAGTACCTCTTGACTCATGACAAAAAAATGGAGCAAAGATAGAGAATGAACAGAGTAAAAACAAAGAAGAAAAGGACTGACCTTAGCAATGGGCAGGAGACCGAAACTATCATAGACGAAATTTTCGAAGGCGAATATTTTCATAAGCACAGTTTATCACGATGGCAGAGGTTTGATATATAAAGGCATAATGCGTGCAACGCAGGGGCAGGAACACAACACCCTAAACGACGAAACCCCAAAATGGTAATGATGAGCATTAAATAGAAAACTTCTCCACTTCCAAAAATCAGTTACAATTCCTTACACGAACGGAATTGGGAGCAAAGTTTGGAGAGAAAATTTTTCACTATTCATAAAACTCCACGTGTATCCAATGAAGTAAAAAAGGCCAATCCAAAGAACCAGACCAGCCGCTAAAAACAAGATTCCAAGCATCACTCGAGCCCATGATCACTGAGTCCATGGAAGCTCAAAACAAAGTCCAGATGACCACAACTGGAAGCAACGCCAAGACAAGAAATCAGGAACAACTGTGCACATTAAATGAAAATGTCAGTAACGGCCCCTTCTTCCTTGATCTTATTGTTTATACTCTTTCATTCGTACTGTTCTTGTTAAAATATTTCTTCTTTTACCTTCTGATTATTTTTGAGTATCTTCTCATTATTTTTTAGTATGTAGCAAATTTGAAACTCTTATATTGAACCTTATTGTTTGGTCGAGATTTTGTGCACCTACAATACATCTTATGTACTATAGAAAATGTATACGCTGAGTGTAATGAAAGCTAATTGACGCGTGGCAGTGAAATGATATAAGTGGCATGCAATGAACACGTATATAAATATGAAACAATGGGGTCTACGAAATATAGATGAAAAGTGAGCCGTTATTGCTTCTTTGTTTTTTTTTTTTTTTTTTTTTTTTTTTTTTTTTTTTTTTTTTTTTGGGAAAGTAAGTTTCAATTTCAAACTTTCCCAAAAAAAAAAAAAAAATCTCAGGTATTTCCTGAGAATTTATTAGTTCCCTTTAGGTATTTCCATTTTAAATAGTTCTTCTATGTCATATTATAAACTTATACTGTAACAAAATACAACTTCATACCCCTTAACAAAGCCATTTTACACAATCAGTTGGTTAAATTTTAAGACGTTCAAATCAGAAAGAAGTAATTGACCGTCGTTCACATGGACCAAACCAAAAATCTGGCCAAGGCAATGATGAAGAACGCCAACAATCCCACACTAGCATGGCAACTCTTCAAAAGAGTGATCGTCTCCTCTTCCACTTCGTCCGACCAACAACTCCTTCAGTCAGTTCCTCTCATTACCCGCATCCTTGTTCGCGCCAAAATGTTCCCGGAGATCGATAACCTCCACCAACACCTCCTCTCACAACCACTCCTTGAAACTTCCCACAATTCTCTTGTGGACATTGTTCGAATCTTGGCAAAGTATGGTCATATGGATAAGGCCATCTATCAATTTCAAACCCTCCGAGCCCAATTTCCCTCTAAACCCCCCTCTGTATCAGTATACAATTTGCTTATTGAGTCCTCTCTTCGAGAAAACTGCGTGGATTCTGTGTCCTGGTTGTATAAAGACATGATCGTTGCCGGGGTTTCCCCCGAAACTTATACTTTCAATCTTCTGATTGGTGGGCTTTGTGATTCCGGTCATTTGGAAGATGCCCAGAAATTGTTTGATAAAATGTGTGATAAAGGTTGTCAGCCTAATGAGTTCAGTTTTGGGATTTTGGTTCGTGGGTATTGCCGAGCTGGGCTCACTACCCAAGGTTTACAGCTTCTGAATGTGATGAAGAGCATGGGGGTTGTCACTAATAAGGTGATATACAATACTTTTATTTCGAGTTTCTGTATGGAAGGTAAGACTGATGAAGCTGAGAAATTGGTGGAGAGGATGAGAGGGGATGGCCTGTTTCCAGATGTCGTTACTTTTAATTCTAGGATTTCGGCGCTTTGCAATGCAGGAAAAATTCTTGAAGCTTCTAGAATTTTCAGAGATATGCAGATAGATAAGGAGCTGGGATTGCCTCAGCACAATATTATAACACTAAATCTAATGTTGGAGGGTTTTAGCAAGGAAGGGATGTTGGAGGAAGCTAAGACCCTGGTCGAGTCTATGAAAATAAATGGAGTTTTCACAAAAGTGGAGAGTTATAATATATGGCTGTCGGGTCTGGTGAGGAATGGGAAGCTGCTGGAGGCTCAATCAGTTCTTAAAGAGATGGTAGATAATGGCATAGAACCAAATATTTATTCGTATAACATTGTTATGGATGGGCTGAGCAAGAATGGGATGCTCTCTGATGCAAGGATGGTCATAGGTTTAATGACAAGTAGCGGAATATCCCCCGATACGGTAACTTATACCATTCTACTTCATGGGTACTGCAGAAAGGGGAAGGTTGTTGAAGCCAATAATGTTCTACATGAAATGATGGAAAATGGTTGTTGCCCAAACACTTATACGTGCAACATCTTGCTGCACAGCCTGTGGGAAGAGGGGAAAATATCAGAAGCAGAGAAGCTGCTAGAAAAGATGAATGAGAGAGGTTACGATTTTGATACAGTGACCTGTAATATTGTGGTTGATGGTCTCTGTAAAAGCGGAAAGGTGGACAAAGCAGTTGAAATTGTGGGTGAAATGTGGACTCATGGTAGTGCTGCTCTTGGCAACATAGGCAATTCGTATATTGGCCTAGTAGCTGATGGCAATAATGGAAAGAAATGTTTGCCTGACTTGGTCACGTATTCAACCATAATTAATGGGTTATGCAGAGCTGGGAGGCTTGATGAAGCTAAACGGAAGTTCATTGAGATGATGGGGAAGAACTTATACCCTGATTCAACTATTTATGATACTTTTATACATAGTTACTGTAAAAATGGAAAGTTATCATCAGCATTTCGGGTTCTTAAAGACATGGAGAAAAAGGGTTGTAACAAGAGCATACAAACATATAACTCTCTGATTCTTGGGTTAGGTAATAAAAATCAAATATTTGAAATGTATGGACTGATGGATGAGATGAGAGAAAGAGGAATTTCTCCTAGTGTTTTTACTTTTAATACTATGATTAGCTGTCTATGTGAAGGAGGGAGAACCAAAGATGCCACTTCTCTTCTAGATGATATGATGCAAAAAGGCATAACCCCTAATATTTCTTCATTTGGGATATTAATGAAAGCCTTTTGCAAGACAGGTGAGTTTGGAGCAGCACAAGAGGTATTTGATATTGCAGTGAGTATTTGCGGTCACAAGGAAGCACTTTATAGTTTAATGTTCAACGAGTTACTTGCTGGAGGGGAAGTATCAGAAGCTAAAAAACTATTTGAAGCTGCATTAGATAGATGTTTCCATATAGGTAAGTTCCTGTACAATAGTCTCATTGAGAAACTCTGTAAGGATGAGAATCTAGAAGGTGCTAGTGATGTCCTCAACAAGATGATCCATAAAGGTTATGAATTTGATCCTGCATTGTTCATGCCAGTGATTGATGGCCTAGGTAAAAGGGGAAATAAGCATGAGGCTGATGAACTCGCAGAAAGGATGCTGGAAGTGGCTTCAGAGGGCAAGGTAGCTAACAAGGCTTCTCGAAATAAGAGGGAGCTAAATCATGGGAGAGCAAATAAATATGATGGAAGTGACTGGAAGAACATTGTGCACAGGTATGGTTGTTCAAGAGTTACTTTTTAACCTTTTTTTTTTTTTTTTTTTTTCTTTCCCTGCATCATTCTCATTGCCTTTTATGTAGCCTCAGACCAAATTTAGTGTGATGGATTTTAGTGTCATTTTTTTTTTTTTTTTTGATAAGTAATTTTGTTGTCATTTTTTACTAGTTGAATTTTATAGAGTGGCCTTCTGATTGGGTTTTCCATGATTTCCTGTTTTCTGTAAAGTTAGAGCATTACACTAAGCAGGAATAATGATATAATAACTGCTATACGGTGATGTAGGATATGAGGATATGTTGCAATTGCTGGGTATTACCCCCCTAAATTAAAGTTGATTATCCAATCTGAAAATTATATGTTCTCCAAAAAAAAAAAAAAAATTTGCAATATATTTATATAACCAATGAGCCTGTTATTTGTTAGACACGGGTTAGCCTTTGTCCAAACAAATGGAATCAGTATACCTGTTTCTACTTACCATCCAAAAAAAAATTGCAATATAATTTATATAACCAATGAACCTGTTATTTGTTAGACATAGGGTTAGTATCATCATCATCCTTGCCTTCGTCCAAACATACGGAGTCAGTGTATATTTTTGATATATTTGTTGGAGGTACTTATGTTTTTTTTTTTTTTTTTTTTCTGGACCTTCCTGAGATCAAATTTATTAATTATTTTTTTACAGAGATGATGGCAGTGGTATAGCAATTAAAGCTCTTAAGCGGGTACAAAAAGGCTGGGGTCAAGGAAGTATATTGAATGTGCAACCGCAGAAAACTGATTTTCTTGATTACTGGGATGGTACTGGCTAATCTCTTAATTCCTTGAGGCTGATTTTCAAGTTTTGCTATATGTTGGAGGGATAGCTGACTGCTTGAGTTAAAATATACTCATCTGAACTGAATAAAGCCTTGTCCCAACAACTTGGGGTCAGGTACGTGGATCTTGTTTCACTATTCTGTTCTATGATACAATCTGTGGCCATGATTTCTGTTAGGGACTATCTATCTTTTCTTATGATCTCAATTCATGTTAATTTTAGCCTTCCCCTTCCACTTCCCCTAGAATTATCCTTCGTGTGAATCAAGGTACTCTTCCTCAGGGGGGCAGTTATTGATGGTCAAGTTGATGCCCCTTAAAAAATGAACTATTGTTTTGTGCTTAGGTATGGTAATGGTTCAGATTTCAACCTTTTCCTTTATTCTTTTTCCTCTCTCTCACATGGAGAGCTAGTCAAAACTGTAATAGAAAACGAAGTGCAGAGCCCTGTTACTTGGTGTGTGGACTCTAGGCACAACTTTTTCCAGTCTTAGTAAGGCTGTAATATTAGCACACTTGATTGAGGTTTGATATTCTCAATCATACAGTCAAGGGTCCTATATGTCATTATAATAAAGGATGTAAAGAAAATTAGTTAGATTGATATGAGAACTTATTTTTCTAATTAGAAGCCATCACTTTAACATGCTTCTTTCTATCAGCATTATAAAGTTTTTCTTCTCTCTCTGATCTGTAATTTCCCTTTATCCACTTGTGTACTGCAAGCATTTTTTGTTATATGAATTGCTTTAAATAAGTCAGAAAAATCTATGGCAATTCTTGGTGTTATATCTAGGGATGACAAATCTATATTTTGTCTAAACATGTTTTGCATATCTAATTGTAGATCCAGTTGGCTGCCAGAGCATAAACTCATTTAACAAAGCAAAAGTCTAGTGATCATTGGAAATGTAGAAGCATGTTTTTTTTTAAATGTCCTTTTATAAAAAATTTGCCTAATTGAACACTGTAGGATATAAACCTAAATCACCTTTTCTCTTCATATAGGGTATTAACCAAATTTCTAGATTCTGAATATTAAACCAAATTCATTTTCTGCCACAAACTTTGTTATGTCAATAGGCATTGCCATTGTGTATATATGACATGCTTTCTGTGTTAGCACTCTCACTAGCAAAATCACTCGAATATTTTTTTATTTCTTTTTTTTATTCTTCTTGTCCTTTTTTGACTCATTATGGAGTGGGATTTAATGTAACATGTGGTGGTAGCTTAAATGACTTTGGATATGAACTATGTTAAGGGTATTTGGAGGGTGACTCACAATCAGATTAGAGAGAGAGAAAGAGAAAGCACTCAGTGCCTTGTGAATGGGTGAAAGCAAAGGCAAATACCAAAGGACCGGCAAAGGACTGACAGGCAGCAGGTCTGTCTTTTGTGTCATCACCCCTCTTTTTATTGAATGCATGATGAGTGTCAAAAACTAACACCTCAAATCATGGTTATATTCGCACGTGTCTAAGGATATTTGATTTCGGCATAGTACAATGTCTTCCACTTGTGTGTCATGGCATTATTGTTGCAATATCCATGAAACACATTTTAGGCACTTATACAACACCTTGAAGAACCCTTAGCTTAAGCCACCAAACCACATGTCTCCAACATGCTGTTATATTGTGAAACAGTGGTCATGACATTTGCATGCTCACATGATGATTTAACACAATATGCAGATTAGCACACAGTTAAAGTGGACCATGACGTACTGTGGTATACGTCGTGATCTCACAATCATAAAGTATTACTGCACACCCTACCTGAGCCACTGGATTGTCAACTTGGCCAGTGGCCGCCAATGTCAATGAGACTTCGAGGTGCTGCCTCCTGTCTTAGGCAGGTACATGATACCTGAGTGTGTTTATTTAGATGAATGACACCATTCTTTTGTCTTCTCAGGTTTGCAATGTCGATGTGCCCATGGCACTCTTGTGCCCATTATGGGCATTTTCAATTATCTTTCATTCTTATGTACATACTCTTATTGTGGCTCTTTCCAGAGCACTTGGTTTGGGTTCAAATTCCTCTTATGTTTCTTGTTGCCTATTCATATTGCTTCAGTATTACAGGCACAAAAAAGGGACATGTAGACCAGTGTGCGTGTATGATTATTTCAAGTACATAGCCATCATTAAGAGGGGAGATTTGTGAGTCTCCATGACTGAAATTGATCATTATACATCATTTCATAGAGTTTGTCATCACAAAATGCTTCCATTAACATTTGCTTGTTTCTTGATGTACTTTTGCAGTGAAATCACATTTACCAAGGTAGGTTGAAAGTTATGTACTCCATCTTTTGGGTCAAAATGAAGATGGTATTAATTGTTACCATGGTGAAATTCTCAATGGCCTTGGAATCAGGCATGCAATTGCCCACTGTCCTATTTGAAATAAGCATAAAATCTTGTGGAGCGTTTTACTGTGTATATAGCCCTCGCATGGGAAAGATTTAAGAGCCTGATTTACAGGTACAGATTCTTCCTTGAAGAATGCACTATCACCACTAATTGCATTCAATGGCCTCAACTCGTATTGTTGATGTACAATTGCTATTTGCAGAGAAGCCAAGATCAGAAATTTAAGAATCTCTTTCCAGCTTTCTCATGTCAGTGTGCCTTGCTGGTCTTCAACTGGCTTATGACATATTGGTAAGTTAAAGCTCCCTTGTTTAACAAGTGCATCTTTGTTGTCATTTAGGGTTGGAAGAGACATAATGCTGAAAAGAAAAATAATAGAAAAAAGGGAAATGAAAATTATAACTGGTTAAATGTACTAAAATGTACAGCACACCCCAAGTAATGGATATTCTACAAATTTTGACCTGAATGTTGTTTGATACATGCCAGTACCATAGTTGCACTCTCTTTTTGCTTGTTATTTATAGGAAAAAGCTCAGAAAACTATGTCTTAGGCAATCTTAGTCATGTGATGAATAACATTACCAAGTTTTTCTTGATCATGTTATTGAGGAAACAAGAAATAAATTCCCAATGGGAAAATTATCTGGTGTGTGCGCGAACTTTTCCTTTTTCGTGGTCTGCTGGCAATTTCAAATTTTGTATGCAATTTTGTTTGTATGGGTTTACTTACGGCCTCATCTACTTGTCTTTATCTATCACCGCTACGCAAATGAACCTAATGCTTCATTTGGCCAAGCTTGCTCTTATTTGATCCCAATTACTCACTACAAGAAAAGATGGCTATAACGGCCAAAAATAACCCACCGCTTAAAACCTTTTCTAACTTCACATGGTCTATGTGGTCTTATTTTTTGTAACGGCCCTCTCTCATTTTTCTCTCCCCTCATGAAATGTGCATAGACCTCTCTCTCTGTCTCTCAACAGCTAACTCTCACGATTTCATCTCTCTCTCTCTCTCTCTCTCTCTCTCGATATGAGCTAGGATTCATAACACATCCGAATTTCATCACTCACACATGCTCTCTCTCTCATCTGCTATGGATGATGAGTTTCTCTATTCTTAGTGCTCGTCCTAATTCGTGTGACTTCTATTCTCTATCAGCCACTTCTCTGTTCCAACCAGAGATCAAATTCATCGTCTTCGATCCCAATGGCATCAGTCATCGAATCAGTCACTTTGCTTGAAAATTTATGATCGTTGAATTGTCAATCATCGACAAGTGGACTGGTATTGTTTCCCAACTACTTTAATGTTTGATTTTCTTTGTTTTTGCCCTAGATTCAGACATTTGGCTTGAAATTTCTTTTCTTTTTTTTTTTTATTTTTTATATCCATGCATTTATACTTTTGGATTTATTGAATCAACAAATATATGTGTATGTATACGCATGTATGTGGTACATACTGTTTATACCCCTAATATCAGACATATGGAAAGTTGACATGTGGCGAGTTCCAAGGGAACTGGCCACACCAGATTATTGTTCCAGTAACTGGAAAAGGAATACTACCCTGTAGGCAGTTCCACCTAGCCACCCAATTTTGAAATATAGAACCACTTAGATGCTGCTACGTGGAACTGAAGACCAGGTCAAGAACATGAATGATCCTATGAGATGAGGCGTACCAAAAGGAGAAAGCATGTGGCAATCAATTGCCATGTGTAAGGTTTGGATTGCTAAAGATTGGAGAAGCAATTTAAGATGATATTTGACTTTGTCAAATAAAGGAATGTGTAATATTACAAACATAATTCTAACTTACCATATAAGTTGGGATTGTGTCTAAAATTTAGGAGTCCCATTAAGTGAGGGATTACAAAAGAAGAAGATCTCCTAAAGGCTAAGATTCAGTCCAGATACATTACAAAGAGGAGAGATTTTAGGAGAAGTTGCCATATGAATAACACAATGTCCAAAGTGGGTCAAAACCACTTTGTATAATGGCGATTGGTTTAGAACCTTCTAAGGAAGTTGCTAAAATATTGGTGTCATGCATAAAATCAGAACGTGGGATTTAGTTTTTCAAATTAAAAGGAGCTATATGTAGCATAATCCTAGCAAAAATGGTGTACGTGGGTGCCATACAAGGAAAGTTTTGTATCAAAGTTGACTATATCAACTCTACCAAGCGACGTGTCAACTCTAGAAGGCAGCCACTGGCCTTATTTAGGTGAGGAGGTTGCTAAAAATCAGCAAGTGGACTGATAACATGAAGCATTTACCGTAAAAATACTGAGGAAAACACGTGGCACGTGGTACGATCCGGACCTTCCAGATTGAAGTTTCCAACTGCTGCTAGAACCGTCCTTTCCCTCTTAGCAGTCCCAAAATGTGAATAAAGGCTTGCAAATATGCATTCAACCACCAAGACCACTCTTCATAAGTTGTAAATCATGGGAGAATATGATTTTACACATGTCAACACTATGAGAAAGCTGGGGAAGACATGGGACACGTGGCACAATCTAGACGTTCCACTTGGAAGCATCTCCAACTGTTGCTGGAATTGCAATCTCCAACTGTTGCAAGAAGAGTTCTATAAATAGAGCACTTAGGCCTAGCATGCAAACCCTGTTCAACACACACAACAACACAACACTTTGCTTTAATCATTTCAATTTCGTGTATTTTTACATTCCAGTAATGTATTTCAATTATGTTTAATACAAGTCCTACTTATCCAAAAAAAAAAAAATGTTTAATACAAGTCCAGTACTTTCTTTTCCTACTTTCCAACAAGTAGTTCCTAGCTCTTTTAATTGCAAGTCCTGCACTTTCAATTTCGTTCTTCTTTCCACTAGCACTAGAATTATCCAAAAGTCTTTTTTCAAGGCAAAAAGAACCCCTGGAAGTGGTCATTCCAAGCTTCCTCTCAATTGCCTGATCCCGACAACTTTCCATTGGAATATTGTTTAGAGCTTCCCTTTGGAACGACAGCAGTTCCTGGCACGCCCGCAACCCTTCCACTCGACTGGAAGGGACCACTTTTTGTGAGCCAAACATATTGACACGCCCGGCGGGACATTCTAGACAGATTATTCCATGGCTGGCGGAAGAAGGCAAGGCAAGTATATCCAACACCCTGCCGAAGTAGAAGCAAGGTTATCAAAATTGCGATCCAGGATTGTAGAATCACATGATTCTACGATCCTGGTAACCCAAAACGAGTCAACTAGCTAATAAATCGCTACAAAATACAGAATCACATTAGAATCGCTCAGAATCGTAGCAGAATCGTAGAATCGTACGATTCTGCTACGTTTCTACTATTTACTCTTGCTGGGCTTATTTTTAAGTTTGGGTTCACTTTATTTATAATTGGGCTTTTAAAATAAGAAAGGCCCACATACTTGAGGCCGATAAAAAGCCGATATAAATAAGAAATGACCCCCTAATTCAGGCAAAAACCAAATCCCTAACCTCTCACTTCGCTCCTGTCTGTGTCGTGAACATTTTGACACTTTGACAAAGATCCATATTTCCAGCTTTGATCAAATTGATTCAGTTCCAGACTTCAAGAATCAAGCTTCGACACTTTGACAAAGTTACGGCAAGGCAATTTTTGGACTTCGTTCGACACTTCAACAACTTCGAAGTCCTCAGTTCACAGACTCAGATCACTCGACAAAGGAGTGTTTTTTTTTCTTGTTCTGCTTCTATTTTGATTTCTATTGATTTTTTTTGTCCTGCTTCTCTTCTGTTCTTTGTTTTGCTTCTGTTATGATTTCTATGCAATTTTTTTTGTTGTTCTTCTGCTTCTGTTCTGAATATTCTGTAACGAAACAGAGCAATTTTTTCTTTTTTGTTCTTCTTTTGCTTCTACTTCTGCTTCTGCTTCAGCTTCATCCTCGTTCCAGCTTCTACTTCTGTAACAAAACAGAGCAATCTTTTTTTTTTTGCTCTACTTCTGTTCTGTTCTGTTCTACTTTTTTTTTTGCTCTACTTCTGTTCTTTTTACATTCTGGTTTTCCAAGCATGTGTTCTGTTCTGTAACTTCTGTTTATACTTTATGTTTTGTTTCAATTTTTCGAGTGTTGAATTTGCTGATGAATGATTATCATTCAGTAACTTGAAGTCTTGACTGTTGAATCATTATCATTCACTAGATGACATCAACTGGCAGTTTGGCAAAGAGTAAGAGAAAAAATTCACCGGGATAAAGATTAGATCCGGGATGGGAACATGGGATTAAGGATGGGACTTCAAAAAAAGTGAAGTGTCGGTATTGCAATGTTACCCATTTTGGGGGTAGGGTGGAGTGGAATAAGAATGATATGGGGGCAAAATATATAAAGAAGTGAATGGGCCCCAAATTCTGGGCAATTGCGTCCGGGCACACCACCTTGCGTCCGGGCGCGGAGTGTCAAGGTGCGCGAGGTGTGCGCCTTGACTTAACACACACATGATGGCAACTGGCGTCTGGACGCACCTTGCGTCCGAACACATTTGTAGCAACAGACTGTTTTTTGATTTTGTCTGTTTGGGAGCCGAAAGAAGTCCGTAATTCACAAAACTTTTTGGACATTATATACTTACTCTTAGACACCCCTCAGATCGATCGGAATTGAAATTCGGATATGTTCCGAAAAAAATCAACTTTTTTGGGTTTTTAAAAATGTCCTGCTCCTAGGTGGCGGTGCGTCCAGACGCAAGGAGGTGCGCTCGGACGAAATTTTGGCCAGAATCTGTTTTTTAATTTTTTTAATTTTGGAAGCCAAAATAGACCCGAAAAATGCTTGAAATTTTTTAAATTTTTCAATGGAACTTATTTAATGTCCTAGGCACCTAGTATGACCAAAAGAATTGGAATCGGAACACTTTTGCAAAAGTGCTAAAATTTGGTGCCATACTTAGGCAAAAACCGTATTTTTGGATTTTTTTTTGAATAGAAGAAGAGAAGATGAAGTTTAGGAAGCTTGGTGCTCCGTAAAGATTGCTAAGTTTAACGTCGATAACTTGACGCGATGGGAATCCCATTAGTCTTCATAAATTGGATCCGTCCAAAGGACGGTTTCCACATTTCCAACACGCGGTTCATTTCCCTCATAGGGTTGCAAACTCGGATCAATGCCCTGTGAAGGGATGAGATAAGCAAGTTTGGTCCTAAGTGATTCAAACACACCCCACAACCTTAGATTATCTGTTTTCAACTTCGAAATGTCCAGTTGTTTTTGAGGTGTTGAGGAAGTTCCCGCAAAATTCGACCCTTGAATATTCATGAAAAG